AGTCTTTCCGAGTCACAGGGCTCAAGTCCAAGTCAAGTCTCGAGTCCTTGCTGTCAAAGTCTAAGTCGAGTCTCAAGTCTTCTTTAATTATGTCGAGTCGAGTCGCAAGTCATCAAATTTGGGACTGGAGTCTGAGTCGAGTCTCAAGTCGTGTGACTCGAGTCCACACCCCTGGATTTTAATATTCATGTGTGCTGCCCTGATAAGCCGTTAGTCTCAGAATTTTTACAAATCATTGATTCGTTTAACCTTTTCCAATCTGTCTTAGGTGCTACACATGAAAAAGGCCACACACTTGACCTGATATTGTCTTATGGATTCCCATTACAAATTGTTCAGATTGAAGATTGTTCTTTTTCTGACCACAAGCCAATACGGTTTAATACTTTTTTATCCCACCCTGTGAAACAATACCCTCCTGGTTATTACATCCACCCTTTTACCCCAAATGTATGTACGATTTTCGGAAGCCTTTTCTTCTCAATTTGCTATTTCTTTTAAATCATCTTCTTCTGATATGAGCCCTGAAGAGTTAATTTCTTATTTTAATTCTACCTGTGTTAGTATCTTGGATTCTATTGCTCCCTCTAAACTGAAATACCCCAAAATAAGAAATCAGCCTTGGCTAAATAGTGAAACTAGAGTTTTAAGACAAAAATGCAGGCAAGCAGAGATAAAATGGAAACAAAATAAATTGCAAGTATCCTATGAAATTTTGAGAGACTGTCTGAGGACTTATCAGACATTTGTTAAGACTGCTAGATCAACATATTTTTCCAATTTGATTAATAGCAATGCTGGTAGACCAAAAGTTTTATTTAGTACTATTAATAAGGTTTTAAAACCTATTGCTACTACATTTCCAGAGGCGTCTCTTGCAGTTTGCAATGAGTTTTTAGAGTTTTTTTTATTACTAAGATTCAAAATATTCGCTCTAATATCACAAATTCTGGAAATGCCTCATTTGCTGATCACTGTAATTTAGCTACTTTAACTAGCTTTGAACCTGTGTCTCTATCCGACCTAATAGATATTATCTGTCATATGAAACCTGCATCTTGTTTGTTGGATCAGATTCCCTCATTTTTTATTGTGGAAATACTGGACACTATTGGCTCATGTATCCAGTCTATAATTAACAGTAGTCTTATTAGTGGCTGTGTCCCATCATGTTTTAAACATGCAGTGATACAGCCTGTGCTTAAAAAGGCTACTCAAGATCCTCCGATCTTAACTAATTATCGTCCTATTTCTAAGCTTCCTTTTCTCTCGAAGGTACTGGAGAAGGTTGTTTTTCATCAACTTTCTTCCTTTCTAAAGAATAATGATATATTAGACAGGTTTCAGTCTGGGTTTAGAGCTCAGTACAGCACAGAATCTGCTCTTTTAAAAGTGTTAAATGATCTGTTACTGGCTGTTGATTCTGGAAAATGTGTCGTTTTGGTTCTCTTGGACTTAAGTGCAGCCTTCAACACTATCGATCACTCTATTTTGCTGAAACGTCTTGAGCAGTATGTAGACATCAGGGGAATAGCTTTAAACTGGTTTGCGTCCTATCTTGAAGGGAGAACAATTTCTGTAGAAATCGATATCATCACTTCCTCTTCTGCTGCATGTAAATGGGGTATCCCACAGGGATCTGTTTTAGGCCCTCTTTTGTTTTCTCTCTATCTTCTTCCTTTAGCTAATATTTTTCGTAAGCATCAGACGTCGAATCATTGTTATGCAGATGACATACAGCTTTATCTCCCTGTTAAGTCTGATGAGAATACGTCTCTTCAGCCATTATTTGACTGTTTTAATTAAGTTAAAAGTTGGATGGCAGATAACTTCCTTCAATTAAATGACTCTAAGACTGAAGTGTTGGCTTTTGGACGTCCGGATTTTGCAAATACCCTCTCAAAGACCGTGGCTCCTATAACTAACACCGTAGTTTCTCATGCAAGAAATTTCGGAATTATTTTTGACCTTAAAGCACTTAAATTTGACAAACAAAAACTCATTTGTCAAATTTGCATTTTTTCAGCTTAGGATTTTCTTTCATTTAAAGATTTAGAAACTGTTATCCACGCATTCATTTCATCCAGACTTGATTACTGTAACTCATTGTATTTGTAACGAAAGTCCACTGAAGGCGAGCGTAAGTGAGAACCCAAGTGCAGTTTATTTACAGTGATCCAAACATCCAAACAAGATACACAGACTTGACTTAACGAGGCATGAACAGACTTGACGAGGCATGAACAGACTTGACGAGGCATGAACAGACTAGACTCACCGCCACCCGCAACCCACCCGCAAATAATCAGAATGCATTTTTTTATTACCCGACCCACCCGATCCGCGAATTATCCGCAGCGCCCGCGGATATAACCGCCATCCGCGCATCACTACTAGATACACAGACTTGACTTGACGAGGCATGAACAGACTTGACTAGACTCACCGACAGCGGGTTACAACATCAATACACGACGAGAGACAATGGCAACATGATGGCTACTTATAGCAAACAAGAGGGTCACATGACAAGAACAAACCAATGGGAAACAAGACACATTACTAGGACAACCAATCAGAACATGACACATGAACCAAAGAACAAACCAGAACATAACACACAGACAAGGGAATCACATGACAGAACATGATCACATGTGGGGCAAGGAACACATGACCAACTAGGAAATTAAACTAAGATCATGAATACAAAGCAAAAGACATGAACACCAACACAACCCGAAACAAACCCTGACAGTATTTAGGGGTCGCTCAATCTTGTCTGTCTCGCCTTCAGTTGGTCCAAAATGCTGCGGCCAGATTTTTAACAAAAACTAGGAAGAGGGAAAATATCACTCCTGTTTTGGTTGGTTTGCATTGGCTTCCCATTGAATATAGAATCCAGTTTAAGGTATTACTATTTGTTTACAAGTCCCTCACAGGCTTGGCACCAAACTATTTATCTGATCTTCTCCCCCATTATCAGACCAACAGGTCATTAAGGTCATCAAACACTTTGTTGTTGTTTGTTCCTAAGACACGTTTAAAACTTAAGGGGGATCGGGCATTCTCGGTGGCAGCACCTCAGTTGTGGAATAACTTGCCTCTTTACCTGCGATCGCCAGGTAAATCTATTTTTTAAATCTACAGGTAAATTTAAATCTTTAGTAAAGACATATCTTTTTAAAAAGGCTTATGGGCTGGAGTAACTGCTGTATATAGTTTTATTGTGTGTATATTTAGTGTTGTGTATTATTTTTGTCACCTTTTTATTGTAAATTTGTTATGGTTATTGACTTAATTCTACTTCTCTGTGCAGCACTTTGGTCGGCTCTGTCGTTTTTAAATGTGCTATATAAATAAATTAAACTGAAACTGAAACTAAACATGAATATGAACCCGTAAGCTGTTCAATAGTTATTAAAAAGACACACAATAAGTGATTAGAACATGATAGTCAAATGTGTGGGTTACATACATGATATGGAGTTAAGCAATGGACTGATATTAATTTATAAGTCTTTTTGAGTTCATTTTGGTGCATCTACATCTGTAAAAGTTTCTGTGCCATTCTGTGAAATAAGGACATGTTCTGTGAAGACCAGAGGTTAAAAGGTCCCATAAGGAATCTGTCTGGTCTTTGTCTTCTAGGTGGGGCAAACCACCCAACGCAGTTTCTACTAATGATTTTCCTCCTGTGATGGTCATGACTTGCTGTGTCTTTGACCATTAATCTTGGTTACTTGCCCCAAATTTGACAATCTCCTTGGAATTGTCAATAAGTGTTCTTTTGTTTTAATGCTGTGAGCTGCTCAAAGCTGCTAGTTGGTGGACTTGCTTCAGACTCGTGGCGCCAGGGTATCGTGGACAGATTTATGACGTTGTCTTGGGCCTCTTTGTGGAATTCGGCTCTTTGGGTTGTTCAACACCAATCTGATCGAATCTTAAATTGTCTGAGTCGGTCTGATACCCTACACATTCCCCCTTCGGTCGGCGATGTGTTGAGTAGGAGACATCGGCGAGCGCTGGAGAAACAAAGGCAGAAGAAGCAGACAAACACCGCAAACAACAAGACAACACCTCCATGACAGTTACTATACTGGTGCAGGCATCAGGTTATTTAGGTACAGGTGGTTAAGTTGGTGTGGTGAGCCAATCCTAATATCAGACCTTTCTAGACCCTTGTAGGGTGGCTAGGAGTTTCACCTGCTAAAGAAAGAAGGGAAGGAAAAGCATAGGTAAAAGAAGAACAAAACAAAACAAAGCTGCTGTGGGTTTTCCTAGCATGGCTTACAACTACTGTTGAGCTAGGATGTCATGTGCAGCTAGTATGTCATGTACCTTAACTTAGTGTCAGGTGTTCTACCTATTGTGAGGATGGCTGCGTGTTTCTTCATGGTGGGTGCATGTAACTTTATGTTATGCTAAAATTAGGATATTGTACTTGTGGGAAGAATATGCATGTTGAATGTGTTATCAGTTCGGCATAGCTGTGTGAAGCTGGGGTGCAAACTTTGTCTCCTATGTTGCATTCCTCTTGTGATGCCTTCTGGTTGTGGTAGACTTTCTGACCTTCTGTGCTTTGGTGGTTGCTGTTGCACAGACAGGAATGTGGTTCTTGGAGTTGGAGTTCATTTGACAGTTTGTTAGTGAGTGATGGGTGACTGAGGTGATGTTCAGTCCAGGGGAGAAGAGAACAAAGCTGCTGTGGGTTTTCCTAGCATGGCTTACAACTCCTGTTGAGCTAGGATGTCATGTGCAGCTAGTGTGTCATGTACCTTAACTTAGTGTCAGGTGTTCTACCTATTGTGAGGATGGCTGCGTGTTTCTTCATGGTGGGTGCATGTAACTTTATGTTATGCTAAAATTAGGATATTGTACTTGTGGGAAGAATATGCATGTTGAATGTGTTATCAGTTCGGCATAGCTGTGTGAAGCTGGGGTGCAAACTTTGTCTCCTATGTTGCATTCCTCTTGTGATGCCTTCTGGTTGTGGTAGACTTTCTGTCCTTCTGTGCTTTGGTGGTTGCTGTTGCACAGACAGGAATGTGGTTCTTGGAGTTGGAGTTCATTTGACAGTTTGTTAGTGAGTGATGGGTGACTGAGGTGATGTTCAGTTCAGGGGAGAAGAGAGACTGACACAGATCTGTGTGGAGTAGAAGCCTTTGTGTGGTGGGACAACTAAGTGTTGTGTCAGTGATTGTGAACCACTAGTGAAGTATGGTGATGACTGTGTTGGTCTCAGGGTGTCTAAATAGACTAGGGATGCGAAGACTTCGTCACTCTAATGAGGAAGAGGAAAAAAAAAGAGAAAAAGGTGAAAACAATTAAATGAAAAGAATCAATTCCTTTTTCAGTTAGAGAAATTCTTTTTTTTTTCAATTAAATGTTGTTATCAAGAAGGTAAACAGTATTATATCTCTGTTTGAGACAAAAGAATACAATAATAATGCTGATATCTCTTTTCTTAGTTTGACAGGATTGACACCGTACACCTTACAGTTGGACCGCTGACCAGGGAGGCTGCAAAGGCGACAGTTGTTCAACACTTATCTCTATTAAACTGATCTCAGCGTTGGATGAGATGCTAAAATTTGGATTGCGTTTTCAAATGTAGGGAGGTTAGGAAGAACGAAGGAGGGGTTGATTACAATCAAATTCATATGGATGATTCGTCTTCTTTCACAAGATTGTGTATTTCATTCATTGTGTACCTCAGAGTTTATCAACGGCTGGCCATGAGAGACTTGCTCATTCTGGGTGGTTGTTGAACAGGTGCTTGTCATCTCTGATGTGGTGTACCAGATGATCACCGGCCTTCCGTTCTGTCGCTGGTCACAGTGAGCATGACTCAACTTTGTGGTAATCCGTGTTCAGCTTGTCTGGAAGGAACTCTTTCATTTGTCTCATGACTTGTTCCATGTCTTCTGATGGTAAGCTGTCTTGTTCTTGTGCATACTCAGCACTGTGCATGTCTGAGTGGTGCTGAGGTGGGTTTTGTTGTCGCTTACCCACACAAGTTGCTCTTGGATGAGTCAGGCGAATACCTTTGGATGTCTGGTTAGGTTTCCAGTTGTTCTTATCTTTTGGGTTTCTCGAGAAGCGTGGCTGGTCCCATGGAGTTTTCCAGCGGTAGGGCTGATAGCTGTTGTGGACATGGGGGTCACGTTCCCTTTCAGTCGGTCACTCCCGACGTCACGTCGGTTGACCGACGAAATTGGGATCTCGCTTAGAGGGACCAATCCACTTCGAGTGTAAACTAAACGAGCCAATGCACATTGGCATGCGATTATTGCATCCAGCTGCTGCTGATCACAGCGTGAGTATAAATAGGCAGCAGATGCAACGCATATTCAGCTTTTCGCTTCGGAGCCGAGCGGTTCTA